GGGGGAAGGGGAGAAAGAAAAGAAAAGAAAAGAAAAGAAAAGAAAGAGGAAGGAAGGAAGGAAGGAAGGAAGGAAGGAAGGAAGGAAGGAAGGAAGGAAGGAAAGAGAAAGAAAAGAAAGAGGAAAGAACGACAGAAAGAAAGAGGAAGGAAAGAGAAAGAAAAAAAGAGGAAGGGGAGAGAAAGAAAGAGGAAGGAAAGAGAGAGAAAGAAAAGAAAAAGGAAGGAGAGAAAAAGAAAGAAAGGAAAGAGAGAAAGAAAAGAAAGAGGAAGGACAGATAGACAGAAAGAAAAAGAAAAAAAGGAAGGAAGGAGAGATAGAAAGGAAGGAAGGAAAGAGAGAAAGAAAAGAAAGAGGAAGGAAGGACAGAAAGAAAGAAAGAGAAAGAGAGGGAGAGGGAGAGAGAAAGGAAGGAAGGAAGGAAGGGAAAGAGAGAGAAAGCAAAGAATTAAAGAAGAGGAAGGAAAGAGAAAGAAAATAAAGAAAGAAAAGGGGGAGGGAGGAGAAAGAAAGAAGAAGGAAATATAGAGAGAGAATGAAAAGAAAGAAAGAAAGAAAGAAAGAAAGAAAGAAAGAAAGAAAGAAAGAAAGAAAGAAAGAAAGAAAAAAAGAAAAAAGAAAGAAAGAGAAAGGAAGGAAGGAAGGAAGGAAGGAAGGAAGGAAGGAAGGGAAAGAGAGAGAGAGAAAGGAAAGAATGAAAGAAGAGGAAGGAAAGAGAAAGAAAAGAAAGAAAGAAAAGGGGGAGGGGGAGAGAAAGAAAGAGGAAGGAAATATAGAGAGAGAATAAAAAGAAAGAGAGAGAGAGAGAGAGAAAGAAGAAAGGAAGGAAGGAAGGAAGGAAGGAAGGGAAAGAGAGAGAGAGAAAGGAAAGAATGAAAGAAGAGGAAGGAAAGAAAGAAAAGAAAGAAAAGGGGGAGGGAGGAGAGAAAGAAAGAGGAAGGAAATAGAGAGAGAGAATGAAAAGAAAGAAAGAAAGAAAGAAAGAAAGAAAGAAAGAAAGAAAGAAAGAAAGAAA